AAAAATGGAGTGCTAGTTATTTTCTAGTGCTTACCATTAAAAAATAATTGTACCTAAGTTGTACAAGTTATTTTTTAGCGCTTGGTATTGGAAAATGCTCGTATCAATTGGTTTAGGTTATTTTTTAGCGTTAGACATTGGGAAATACTTGTCTCCAATTGGTTTAGGTTATTTTTTAATGCTTGGCGCTAGAAAGTAAGTTTATTAATTTACCACTTCATAATAATTTACCTGCTGTGGGCATGGTTCATCTTGGTCACAATAGTTTTGGTTGATGATTATAGGATTGGTCACATTGTGCATTGATGCACTAAAATTACCCTAACAAGTGTACTAGTCACCCCAAGTAATATAATGATGAGAAGAGTGTCGAACTCACAAGAATTGTGTTTAACTAAGTACCAAAATAATTAATTTGAATTTATTTGAACAATCAAATAAGAAGAAACTTTAATTAAAAATAATAAAAAGAAAATAACAAATAAACCTAACCAAGATAGGAGGCACTAAGGCATTGATTTCACCATAATCAATCAATATAAATTCTGGATTAATATACTTTTAAAACCAATTTATTGAGTGTTATTGCATGTGATGGCGGATTTTTCTAAATTAATTAACTAGCTTTTTTAAGTCAAGTTAATCCTTCACTGATTTGTTAAATTAATCATATCTCTATGTAATTTTAAACAAACTAATGAGTATTAGATTCTATGGAAACCTCTAGCTTAAGAAGGGGGAGCTACTAAATCTCTTCTCTTCCTCCACTACCACATGCGAGCTAATTACCTCTCGGTCTCATAGTCTAGCACACGGTTTATATTATTATTGGTCTAATCTACGCAATTCTTTCTCAAGTTCATGCATAAATCACTAAATCAATTGAAAGATGATCAGGCTTTCAATGCATTAAGTTCAATAATATAAACTTCTCATGCGAATAACTTTAATTGAAAGCATAAAATCACAAAATTTATATTGAATTGATTAGGCTACATCATAGCCTTAATAAAATAAATCAGTTCATAATAAAAATAATAAAATCTACAATTATAGTTATGAACAAGGAAGAATGAAACTAAATTTGAGAAAATTGCAATCCTTGATCTCCTATTGTTGAATCTTCTATCTTGACCTCCAAGAATACCCAAAAAAGAGCTGTCACAAGCCTCCCCCAAGCTCTCTTAATTCTGACTTTGGATGAGTATTTATAGGATTTTAGAAACCCTAATTAAAATAGAAGTAGGACTTGGAACAGAAATAGGAAACTAAATCTTGGACGTTTAACGCATGGTGTCGATATCTCGGATTACGTGTTGACACAAAATAGGAAACAGAATCTGATTCTGGACATTTAACGCATGGTGTTGACACTCCGATCATGTGTCAACATTACACCCATGTCAGGTTTTTGGTCTCCTTTTGTAATTTCTTCAATGGTAAAATAGCAGATTTGGTTCCTAACTTTTGGATTCTGCACAAGTTGATCCTCAAGTCTTTGATTTCTTCAATTTACTTCTAAAAAGTAGGATTTCTTCCAATTAAATCCTTTCCTATACAAAAAATGAAAACCATATAAAATCAAACAAAATCCCATAAAACTCATCCAAATATCAATAATATTAAAGTAAAAATTCCCTATTAATATGTATATAAATTTAGCTCATCAAATTCCCCCAAACTTAAGTTTTACTCGTCCTCAAGTAAAATAAAAAGACAAAAGAAACAAAAATAAAATCTAACTCACTTTTGTAGGAATCACGATTGCACTTAACATGTGCAACAAGCCTTTAAACCCCTAGGTCACCCTAGTGGACGAGTTGTGTCTCATGAGGGTTTGCAGTGAATCTACCCACAAAATCCCAATGCAAGAATGTAACTACATGATATGCATGCAAAGAAAATTTAGGAATTAAAGTTCAATTAGATACAAAGTCTCAAATATTCAAAAGTTTTCATATACTCACTTAAAGTTAAATACTCCATCTTATTCTTCACACCACTTGTTAAAAGATTTAGCCCATGAGCAGTTAGTGTGTGTGTGAAAATTCATAGTAAAAAGTTTCGAGTTTAGACTTTCACACCTTAGCACTTATTACTATCTTTTCTTTTTTTTTCTCCCCTCAATTTTTTTTTTCATAGGTCGAGTTTCCTTAGGCTTTCTAAGTTACCCATGTAACGAGCTTTTTGTCAATGACTCCCAAACCAGTTGGCTTTAGGGCATTAGGTGAAGAGACACCCCTAAGAACATACTTACTCAAGTAACAAAGGCCACGAAACATTCGACTTCTCTTCTTCTTCTTCCTTTTTTCAGCCATACAACACATTCTTCCCTAAGTTATCACTTGTCTTTTGACGTAAATACTAACATTTGTGATGAAAGCACCCGGTTACTCAACAAGTCATAAACTCAAAGTGCTTTGCATACTCATATTTCAAGTCGCCGTTTGATGTGAAAATTGACATGGGTTTCATGCCTAACCCCTAGTTACTAAGCAACTAGAAACATTGGAGTAAAAATTAATAAAATCTTTTGTGTGTTGGCTTTCTTTTTTTTTCTGTTTTTTTTTTTTTGGTGCTTTTTAGATGTTACTAAGTCTTCTCTCTAAACTTCTCACTACAAACTTGTGCTTAAATAGAATATAATACTCATGAACTTAAACTTCATCACAATGGTGTTATTTTTCA